TAGAATTTCTCCCCAGTATAAATTTTCTTATGTGTGTTAAGGTGTGAGGACTGCTTAAAGGCTTTGCCACATTATTTACATATGTAGGGTTTCTCTCCAGTATGAATTTTTTTATGTTTAGTAAGGTTTGAGGAATGGTTAGAAGCTTTGCAACATTCTTCACATTCATAGGGTTTCTTTTCAGCATGAATTCTCTTAGGTTTAGTTATTGCAGGATCTGGCCAGCAGCCTGCAATGCAATGGAGCTCTTTCTTTGCTCCCAGGCAGATCAGCAGGTCAAGAAATAAAAGACACACACAAGATAGTGAAAGCTGGGTCCAGGGGCTCACCGCCTTCTGGTCCTGTGATGCCACGGACAATAGGTTGTATGAGAGGTGGTGGTGGGACATTAGCAACGGGGGGATATAAGTCCTCATAATCTGAATTGAGCTTTTGACGATTGCCATAGTGATATTTTTGGCTGTGTGGGAATAGTAGTGTGAATCAATCTGTTGTCTTAGATTTGAGGTGACAAGCTGGATTTACTTATAACACTTTCTCCAGCCCAAACTCATACTAGTCATACCTATGGTTAATCTCCATAATTCTGAACGTTCAGGTCCTAAGTGGGGAACAACGAGGCTTGGTTTTGGAGGGGCAACCCCTGCCCCTTTCCACTTAAAAGGAAAAAAGTAGTTAAATCTAGGATATAATAGGGGAGGGTTGTCACTACTTTCTTGATAAGTAATATCATAGAGAAAATGTTGACAATCTCTGTGACCTTGAGAGCAATCATTAGTAATACAACCCTTAGGAACCCAATCAACAATGGTGTAGAGAGAAGAATTAGATAACATGGTTCCTTCTGGACTAACACAATCCTTCCATATTAATTTGTCAGCATTTGAAGACAAGTTGAGAGGACACACAGGTCCTAAAGGCTTATATTGGGATGTGTGAATATAATCAGGGATTCCTATTTTAATCAGCCTTAGAGGTTTTAACGAGAGCCCTCATACCAAGTGTCCTAAAGGAGGGAGAGAGTGACCAGACGGTAGTGTGACCAGTCAAGTTTGAATATCTAATGAGAGACATCCATTAACGGGTCCCAGGCACAAAGGTGGATACCTAAAACCTAAAGTGCTATGGAAAGGGGTTCCTTCTTCTGAAGGTTGGGCAGGACAATGATCATCTACAGAACCAGGGATCCAAATACTATCATTAACATAGACCTCAATAGGAGCGTCCATCCATGTCATGGCTTAAATAAGAGGAGGAAAAGGAATATAGGCCCAATATGTATAGTTTTTAACAGTCTGTGGAGTGACAGAGGGTAGAAGGATCAGTGTCGTCAGGAGGAGGCAGAGGACGAGCCAGACCTGGATTGCTGGAGACGAGTTGTTCAGGATGGCTGACTGTATTGTCTATTGTAAAGGAGTTAGCATGGTTATTTTCTTCTTTTTGATGATTGAATATGTTAGTTATTTCCTGCTGTGGCGTTTTCTCAGCAAATTTCTCTGTCTCGTTGTTGCATGCATCTTCAGGACACAATTTCAGTCGTCTAGTAGGAATCCAAACAGGAGATTGATGTTGACCCGGGGAAACACAAGCATAGCCTCTTCCCCACGTTGAAATAGAACCTTTTGACCATATATTAGATTGAACATCTTTCCACCATACTTCCCGTGGAACGGTTACCAGAGAAATGTTTTCCGGCAGCAGTAACAGAACTAGATTTAGGAATATTAAGAAAATTTAACGTGAGCAATGCCAAGTTTAGTTGTATGTGAGGGGTAAACAACTCCTTATCCCCCTCTTTTTGTTTGAGTAACTGTAATTTTAAAGTTCTGTCACTTCTTTCTACAATAGCATGGCCTGGTGGGTTATAGGGAATACCAGTAATATGTTTAATATGCCACATATCAAGAAAATTTTAAAAAGCTTTACTGCAATAGGCTCATTTTAAAGAGGTAAAACATTGAATTAATTCATCTTTAGTGGGAGCAGCAATCAGTATATCATCCATATAATGAAGAATGTAATTATTTTTAAAAGCCTGTCGGATAGGTTGTAACACAGTACCGACAAACAACTGACAAATAGTAGGACTGTTAATCATTCCTTGAGGTAAAACTGTCCATTGATATCTAGCTGAGGGAGCTGAATTGTTAATGGAAGGGATAGTGAAAGCAAATTTTTCACAGTCTGACTTGTCTAAAGGAATATGAAAAAAGCAATCCTTAAGGTCAATAATAATTAAAGCCATTCCTTAGGAATCATGGAGGGGGAGGGCATACTGGGTTGTAATGCCCCCATAGGTTTAATAACTGCATTAACAGCTCTTAAGTCTGTTACCATCTTCCATTTTCCTGACTTTTTGGTACAACAAACATGAATGAGTTCCATGGAGACAAGGAGGGCTCAATAGTGTTTGCTTGTAGTAAATCATTAACAATTTCAATTAAAACCTCCAACTTGTGTTTGGAAAGCAGCCACTGCTCTATCCAAACAGGTGACTCACACATCCATTGTGTAGGGGCAGAGGAAGAGAAAGAGAGTGAGGGCACCGGGAAGCAGACTGGGGGGAAGCAGGATTCCAAGCCTCTGGAAGAAGGGGTCCCAGAGCATTGAAAGAAACAGTAGGCTTAGAAAGATGAGAGGAATGAGAAACAGGCCATTCAAATGAGTGTCATATGTTCTCCTCTGGCAGAGGGGGCAACAGCTTAGTAGAGAAAGAGTTAACATATACAGGTTCCAAGATAAGAGGCAGAGGAAGGGGATCATCACCAGGTTCCTCGTCTTGGGGAGAAAACAAGGAGAGATCAAATTCCTCCTCATCATCAGAAGGAGGACTAGTAGGAGACTCAGGTACCCGAGGAAAAGGGAGCGGCTCACCATCTGCATTAATTTGTGGCAGTTGAAGAGGGTCACCAGACTGAAAAGGAAGTAAAGCAACATGAATAAGTGTCCAGTCAGTCCAAACAGAAATAGGAAGTAAAACACCATCTTTCATGAGTTGGCAGAGAGAGGCGCCAACTCTATCCCAGTCTAACAGGTCCATAGAACCTTTGTCAGGGAACCAAGGACAATGTTTTTCAATAGTCTGAAATAAGAGAATAAGGTTATTGGAATCACCCTTGATTCCATCCTGTTTAAGAAGAAGTTTAATAAAAGACAGATAAGCCTGGTGTTTAGACTGTGATTGTCCCATAATAACCCTGGAATAATACTGGTCAACAAACCCGAAAAGAGGGAAGAATCGGAAAATGCATACCCAGAGATCTTACCGTTGTGACTGAAGACTAGTCATCACAAATCTGCACTCAGAGTGCACTGAGCTGAGGAACAAAGAAGGCCACATTGGGCACCAAATATTGTGGGATCTGGCCAGCAGCCCACAATGCAATGGGGCTCTTTCTTTGTTCCCAGGTGGATCGGCAGGTCTAGAAATAATAGACACACACAAGATAGTGAAAGCTGGTCCAAGGGGGTCACCACCTTCTGGCCCTGTGATGCCACCAATGCACTGGATATACCAGCATTTATTATTAAGTTTAGTGAGGGCGGGGGTAGGTTAGTGAGGGATTTAGGGTCATTTGATTATGAGGTGAGATGGTCAAATGGGGATGAAGTAATTTTTTAGCATAACATTGGTATGCAGAAGTACAGTATACAGAGATAAGAATTTACAATATAGTGTGTGCATCAGTAATTTCTAACAGAGCCTTAAAACAGAAACACAGTCTTTCCATAACCTATGATTAGCAAGATATTAATCAGCAGTAAGAGTTGCAGCAAAAGCTGGTTGCAAACAATGAATAGAAACAGGACATGAAGATAGACAACCAGTTAGACTACAAATTCTCAGAAGGGAGTGTGCCTTAACCCTAAAGAGGCCTAGAAGAGCAGTGGCAAGATGAGGGCGTTTATAGCCCTATCTTACCCATATGAACAGGTCCCCCTCATGTATCCATTTATAGGCTCTCCACAAGGGTCACATTCCATTACCAAAGCTATGAACATCTGCTTTTCTGAGATAGGAATCTTGGTGATGTGAAACCTCCCTGACTGCATGTCCATTTATAGGCTCTCTGCAGCGGGAAGCACATCATGTACTGTTGGCTCATTCTGGCAGCCCAACCTGGCATTGTCTTCACACAATCCTGCATGCAGTTTTGTATTTACAATAATCAGGAGCACTTCATGTTTTGTTCCATAGAAATAGTTTCAGGGTTGAGGAATGGTTAAAAGCTTTGCCATATTCTTCAAATTTGTGGAGTTTCTCTCCAACATGAATTATCTCATGTTAAATAAATTTTGAGAACCACTTAAAAGCTCTGTCTTTTTTTTTTTTTTTTTTTGCATTTGTAGTATTTCTTCTCATTATCTTATGTGTAGTAAGGTGTGAGAAATGGTTAAAGGCTTTGTCACAGTCTTCACATTTGTATGGTTTCTCCCCAGTATGGATTCTTTTATTTCAGTAAGGTTTGAGGACTGGTTGAAAGCTTTGCCACATTCTTTATATATGAAGAGTGTCCACCAGTATGCATTCTTTTATGTTTTGTAAAGGCTGAAGACCAGTTAAAAGCCTTTGTGCAATTTATCACATTTGTAGGGTTTGTCTCCAGTATAAATCATCTTATAATTAGTGAAAATTGAGGACCATTTAAAATCGTTGTCACATTTTTCACATTTGTAGGAATTCTCTGTAGTATGAATTTTCTTATAATGAATTAGGTGTGAAAGCATGCAAAATGATTTCCCACTTTTTTACATTTGAAGGAGTTCTTTTTAGTGTGTCTTATGTTATTTCTACATAAATTTGAATATTTATGAAAGACTCACATATTTATTACACTGAAATATTTTGCTCTGGGTAGTTGTCAAACATCGGTTGAGTCCATTATAACCTTCTTTGTGTATCCTAACACCATTCACACCTTTACAGTGTTTTCTTAATTGTAAATTCTCATGTCCACATTTTGCATATGTTCTTAGTATTATCTTTTGGAAAGAATCTTTTATGCTGTGCTTTGGCCAAGGGTCTTGAGTAAAATGAGAACACATAACTGAAATCAATATAAACAACAAATTACTCTACTTGCTACACTCAGATGAATATACTTTACAAATATAACTTATAAAATTATACAAACTACATAAGCAAGATGGCACAGCAAAATAACATAGGCACTAATTTTTTCATAGACCTATAAATGTAACAAAAACATACTAACCAAAATACATTTGTGAAAACTTTATAAATGAGTTAAGTGTGTGCAGCGCCCCCAGGAAAGCACAAAGCAAAAAGTCTAGCAGGAAAAAAGAGTCTGTTACAGTTTCTCAACACAGCTCTTCCTGCTCCCCAATACAGCATAGGGCATTTAGAAGTAAATTGCTGGCTGGGCGTTGTGGCTTACTCCTGTAATCCCAGCACTTTGGGAGGCCAAGGTGAGTGGATTGCCTGAGGTCAAGATTTCAAGACTCGTCTGGCCAAAATGGAAAAACCTCATCTCTACTAAAAATTCATAAATTAGTCGGGCATGGTGGCACATGCCTATAGTCCCAACTACTCAGGAGGGTGAAGCAATCACTTGAACTTTGGTTGTAAAGGTTGCAGTGAGCCAAGATTATGTCATTGTACACCATTCTGAGTGACAGAGCGAGACTCTGCAAAAAAAAAAAAAAAAAAAGAAAGAAAGAAAAAGAAAAAAACACAAACAAAAAAGATAAATTGCCAACTCCTGGTTTTTTTTAATAACAACAACAACAACAACAATAACAAAATGGTACATTTATCCTTATTTCTGGCTTCTAGAAGCCTTTCCAGACACTGGTTTCTGTCCCTCGTGACATAAAGTACTGAAATAAATTGTGGCATACTTCGGAATGACAGTTTGAGTCTACTGAGACCAAAGGTAAATATTACAGCAGCAAAGAGACTGCAGTACCACACACAGAAAACAGGTGTAGCAAGTGATGACTACTAAGGAGAAACATGAATCAACTCCTTTAAGAAATAAACACCAAATTTCAGACTACACACATCCTAAGAACATGTTTGAGAGACTCCCAGAATCTGCAGCCCAGACAACAGGTTTCAGACTATGCCAGGACAAAGGTACATTATAAAGATTGTAACATGTAGCTTTTTAAATGTACAAATCTCAATCACGGATTACAATATATATGTAATATTAGACCAGCATGGCTCAATCAGAAAAATATGACATTTTTAGAAAGCAATCATAAAATGAAGGTTAATAGATTAATTTTAAGAGTTTCAAATAAATTGAATAATACTCAATAAGAGAAATAGAAACACGGACCACTAATGAATATCAGAAAAATGAGAATAACCTTTTCCCCTAAACCCTGAATAGACACACACAAAAATAAGAAAGAAGTGAAAGCATATTAATACAAAAATAAAGCAAACACAAATAAAGACAAAAAGAGAGAAAATGAGAGACAAAGATACAAGAATCAAATAAAATAATCAAATAACACTAGCCAGTGTTTGTCTTTCAGAAAATTATTTAAATATATATAAAACTAACTTTCCAATCAAGAAACACACTTCTTTGTATTTTTTAAATTTTCGTATTTTATGAGACATATTTCAATAAAATAATTTATTAAAAAAATTAAAAACTAAGATCCACCTTGCCTTTCCAAGAGAATCAGTTGCGATTAAATGATTAAAAAGAAAAAAGACTAAAAGTGGGAAGAGTGAACTGGCATTCCACGTAAATATTAACCTTATGAGAGCAGGAGAGGTCAAAATAATATCACGTAAGCTACATCTTAAGTAAAAAACTGTCATATTTTACAAAATGTATTTTATGTCAAAAGTTAAAAGAGACAAAGAAGGACATTCAACAATAATAGAATTTTAAAAATGAGACGGAGTCTCACTCTGTCGCCCAGGCTGGAGTGCAGTGGTGCAGTCTTGGCTCACTGCAACCTCTGCCTCCCAGGTTCAAGCAATTCTCCTGCTTCAGCCTCCCGAGTAGCTGGGACTACAGGCGCATGCCACCACACCTGGCTAATTTTTTTTTTTTTGATATTTTTAGTAGAGACAGGATTTCGCCCTGTTAGCCAGGATGGTCTCAATCTCCTGATCTCATGATCCACCTGCCTCAGCCTCCCAAAGTTCTGGGATTACAGGTGTAAGCCACCATGCCCAGCCAACAATAATACAACAATAGATTTATGCACTGGGAACCTATGACAAATTTGTACATAAGTTTGTATGTGTGTGTGTGTGTGTGTGTATCTCACATTAGGGTTCTGAATATATAAAGTAAATGTTGAAAGAACTAAATAAACACACAGAGAGCAGTATAATTATAGTAAGATATTTCAATACCTTATGTTCAGTGATAAAAATAAGACAAAGCAGAATATTAGTAAGGGAACATAAGATTTGCAAGCAGCATAAAACAATGATTCCTAAGAAAGATATAGAGAATACTCCTCAACAACATAGGACACACACCCTTTGCAGTAGCTCATAACATTCTCTTTGATAGATCACCTGTTAGGCCAAAAAAGAAGTCTTAACAAATTTTTAAAACTAAAATTGGGTGGATTACTTTTTATACCAAAATTGAATAAGAGTATAAAAACAATAGAAGAAACCTGAAAAATTCACAAATGTCTGCAAATTAAACAATACACTCTTGAGCATGCTCTTGGTGAAAAGTTGAAATAATTAATATTGTGAAGATGTTTATACTGCTCAATGTAATCTACAGATTTAATGCAATGTTTTAAAAATTTCTCATTGCATTTTTAAAGAAATAAAAACGGAAAATGCAAAAGTATATGAAATTGCAAGGAATAATGTACCAAAAAATATTTTTAAAAAATGAATAAGTTGGAGGCATTACAGTTCCTGATTTCAAAATACATGATAAAGCTAAAGAATTAAAACAATTTGGCATGAGTGTAAAGGTATAAAAGTATACTAATAATGCAACACATACACAAACTTTCACATATATGGTAATATGAACAGTTATTTGCATACCCATAATTATTGCAGCATTGTTATTGTAAGCCAGTAGGCAAAAGCAGTGCAAATTTCTGTCAACAAATCATTCAGTAGATACAATTCAAAAGATAAATGAAAATTCACTGTTTTCAAAAATAAAATATTCTAACAAATATAAAGATAAGTCTTGATGACATTGTGCAAAATGAAATAAACCAGCCACAAAAAGACAGATATTGTATAAGATATATAAAGTAGTTGCACTCTTAGAAACAGAAAACAGAGGGATGTTTGAAAAGTGCCAGAAAATAAAAAAATGATAGTTGTTTAACGTGTATTCAGATTTAGCTTTACAAGATAAAAACATTCTAGTGATATGTTGCATAGCAATATCAATATAATTAATATAACTAAACTGAATATTTAAAAATATTTTACTGTAAATTTTGTTACGTGATTTTGGCAAGTAAAAATGAACAATAATACTTAAAAGAGATACGGAGTTACGATAGCTTTAAAATTACCTTCCAATCCAATAGCGTTTCTCCCACCCAAAAATAATACAGGTTCACAAATAAATAGGATGTTGAAATTAGAATAATTTTTATGACTACTCACCTACAGAGGATTAAACAACCATTCACAACAAGCCTACACCACAAATGTACAAGTTATAAGAAATACAGTGATAATATTTATTTAGGCAAACAGAGAGAGAGTTATATTGACAACAGACATATGGCTGATTCATTATATTTGATTTTGCTCCACATTGTCTTAAATTTTAGATAAATATGGTCATGCACCATTATAATATAAACTAAATAATCAAAACACAGTTAACTGGTGTGAGGTGGCACGCCCTAAAATATATAACGCAGAAATATAAAATTGCAAAACAAAATTAAAACATAGAATGTAAACTTATTGGACACCATCAAATAGATCAACCTAATCACGAACAGCATCTTAGAAGACGAATATAGAAAAAAAGTAGTACACAGGTTACTTGAAGATTAAAAAAACTCCGAGCCAGCCTGGCGTGGGGGCTCACACCTGTAATCCCAGCACTTTGGGAGGCCGACATGAGCGGGATCATGAGGTCAAGAGATTAAGACCATCCTGGCCAATATGGTGAAACCCTCTCTATACTAAAAATACAAAAATTAACTGGATATGGTGGCGCATGCCTGTAGTCCCAGCTACTCCAAGGCTGAGGCAGGAGAATTGCTTGAACCCAGGAGGTGGAGGTTGCAGTGAGGCAAGATGGAGCCACTGCACTCCAGTCTGGCAACAGAGAGAGACTCCATCTCAAAAAAAACAAAAAACAAAAAACAAAAAACAAACAAAAAACAAAAACAAAAAACAACAACAAAAAGCTGAGAACTTCCCAAGTTTTGATGTAATAAAATAAAAAATATCAACAATACTTGATTAGGAATTATTATATTTTAAAAACAAGAAAAAATAAAGACTTTCCACAACAAAAAAGTAATGGTGTTCATCAGCACTAGCACATTTCTAAAAGAAATGCTGGCCGTGAGCAGTGGCTCACGCCTATAATCTCAGCACTTTTGGAGGCCGAGGCAGGGAGATCAACTGAGGTCAGGAGTTTGAGACCAGCCTGGCCAATGTAGTGAAACCCCATCTCTACTAAAAATGTAAAAATTAGCTGGGCATGGTGGCAGGCACCTGTAATCCCAGTTACTCAGGAGGCTGATGAAGGAGAATTGCTTGAACCCAGGAGACAGAGGTTGCAGTGAGTTGAGATCACACCACTGCACTCCAACCTGGGCAACAGAGCGACACTCCATCAAAAAAAAAAAGAAGAAAAGGAAGGAAGGAAGGAAGGAAGGAAGGAAGGAAGGAAGAGCGAGAGAAAGAAAGAAAGAAAGAAAGAAAGAAAGAAAGAAAGAAAGAAAGAAAGAAAAAGAAAAGCAAGCAAGCAAGCAGGAAAGAAAGACAGACTGGGCACATTGGCTTATACCTGTAATCCCAGCACTTTGGGAGGCCAAGGAGGGTAGATCACTTGAAGTTCAAGACCAGCCTGGCCAACATGGTGAAACCCCATCTCTACTAAAAATACAAAAAAATTAGCCGGGTGTTGTGGCACACACCTGTAATCCCAGCTACTTAGGATGCTGAGGCAGGAGAATCACTTGAACTCGGGAGGCAGACGTTGTGGTGAGCCGAGACTGCGCCACTGTACTCCAGCCTGGGTGAAAAAGCGATACTTCATCTAAAAAAAAAAAAAGGTGCTGCATGATACCCAGGCACAGTGGCTCATGCCTGTAACCCTACACCTTTAGGAGGCCAAGGCAGTCAGATCACTTGAGACCCAGAGATCAGCCTGAGCAAAATAGTGAGACTCTGCATAAAAAACAAGAGAAATACTAAATGAGTCCTTTACATTTAAAAATAAAATGATGTTGGACAGTATCATAAAACCATATATAAATATAAAGCTCTTTGTTGAATGTAAATATTTTATTTTTTAATTTTTTTATTTTGAGATGGAGTCTTACTCTGTCACCTAGGCTGGAGTGCAGTGGCACAATCTAAGCTCACTGCAACCTCTGCCTTCTGGGTTCAAGCGATTCTTCTGCCTCAGCCTCCAGAGTAGCTGGGACTACAGGTGCTTGCCACCATGTCTGGCTAATTTTTTTGTATTTTTAGCAGAGATGGGTTTCATCGTGTTAGCCAGGATGGCCTAGATCTCCTGACCTTGTGATCCACCTGACTCAGCCTCCCAAAGTGCTGGGATTACAGGCATGAGCCACTGTGCCCAGCCTATTAAAGGTAAATATACAGAGACATGTAGAATTCTTTTTTTTTTTTTTTTTGAGACGGAGTCTCGCTCTGTCGCCCAGGCTGGAGTGCGGTGGCCGGATCTCGGCTCACTGCAAGCTCCGCCTCCCGGGTTTACGCCATTCTCCTTCCTCAGCCTCCCGAGTAGCTGGGACTACAGGCGCCCGCCACCTCGCCCCAAGTTTCAGCAATTCTCCTCAGCCTCCCGAGTAGCTGAGACTACAGGTGCACCCTGCCACACCTGGCTAACTTTTTGTATTTTAATAGAGATGGGGTTTCACCGTGTTGCCCAGGCTGGTCTCGAACTCCTGAGCTCAGGCGATCTGCCCACCTCCACCTCCCAAAGTGCTAGGATTACAGGTGTGAGCCACTGTGCCCTGCTGATTACAAACATTTTATAGAAACTATGCAAAATAAAATGAAGGAACAAGCAAAGCATGTCACTACAAAATTAAACAAAAATACAGTCAGTATAGCAGGAAATGAGAAAAAAACATATCTACAAAAAACACATAAAACAATAATAGTAAAACCGATAATAGTAGTTTTAATGATTTAAGCAATCATTTTAAAAATAAATTAATTAAACTACTTAATAGAATGAAATGTAATCCAGGACTTTGGGAGGCCAAGGTGGGCTGATTACTTTATCAGGAGTTTAAGACCAGCCTGGGCAACTTGAGGAAACTCAGTCTCTACAGAAAATTAGTTGGGCTTGATGGCGCATGCCCGTAACCCAGCTACTTGAGAGGCTGAAATGAGAGGATCTTCTGAGTTTGAGAGGTTGAGGCTGCAGCTCACAGCCATGTTCACACCATTGCAAACCAGCCTGGTTGAGAGAGTGGAACCATATTTCATAAATTAATTAATTAAAAGGAAAAGAAATAAGATGCCTGAGCGGCTTAAGAATAAAACCATACAATATGTTCTCTACAATAAACCCATTTTAGCACTTAGTCAAATAGACTGTAAGTAACAGAATAAAAAAAAATCTATATTTCATGAAAATAGTAGCCACGATTAGGTGAGGTGGTCATAATTATGTTGGACAAAATATGCTTTAAGTCAAGTACGAGTATGAAACAAAGATTGATATTATATAATGGTAAAATGGGTCAATTTACCAGGAATCTATAACTATTATATCAATTTAAATGTATGTCTGGCCGGGCGCGGTGGCTCAAGCCTGTAATCCCAGCACTTTGGGAGGCCGAGACGGGCGGATCACGAGGTCAGGAGATTGAGACCATCCTGGCTAACACGGTGAAACCCCGTCTCTACTAAAAAATACAAAAAACTAGCCGGGCGAGGTAGCGGGCGCCTGTAGTCCCAGCTACTTGGGAGGCTGAGGCAGGAGAATGGTGTGAACCTGGGAGGCGGAGCTTGCAGTGAGCTGAGATCCGGCCACTGCACTCCAGCCTGGGCGACAGAGCAAGACTCCGTCTCAAAAATAAATAAATAAATAAATAAATAAATAAATGTATGTCTATGCATAAAAATGGGTCTCCAAAATATATAAATATTGACAAAAGTGAAGCAAGAAATACATAGCAACATAAAAGTTGTAGACATCAAGACCCCATTTTATTTTATTTATTTATTTTTTGAGACGGAGTCTCGCTCTGTCGCCCAGGCTGGAGTTGCAGTGGCCGGATCTCAGCTCACTGCAAGCTCGCTCCGGTCCATCTCCGCCTCACTGGTAGCTCCAGGCCGCCATTTTTTTTTTTTTTTTTTTTTTTTTTTTTTTTTTTTTTTTTTTTTTTTTTTTTTTTTTTTTTCGTCCGTCCCAGGTTCGCCATTCTCCTGCCTCAGCCTCCCGGGTAGCTGGGACTACAGGCGCCCGCCACCTCGCCCGGCTAGTTTTTTGTATTTTTTTTTTTTTAAGTAGAGACGAGGTTTCAGCATGTTAGCCAGGATGGTCTCGATCTCCTGACCTTGTGATCCGCTCGTCTCAGCCTCCCAAAGTGCTGGGATTCCCATTTTCAATAAATAGAAAATTCAGATAAGAGTAACAAGAAATCGGAAAATGTAGACAACATTATAGACTTTATTAATTGCTTTGCATATAGAAAAATACCTGAGAGTAGATAATTTATAAAGAAAAAAGATTTATTTGGCTCACAGTTTGGCAGACTGTACAAGAAGTGTGTGCCATTGTCTGCTTCTGGTGAGGGTCTCAGGAAGCTTACAATTGTGGAAGAAAGCAAGAGGAACTGAACATATCACATGGTAAGAGAACAATTGTGAGGTGAAGAAGCCAGTTGTTTTTTTAACATAGAGTTTCTCAAAACTATGCAGATATTTGTGTGTCCCCAGTAACAATAGAAACACAGTCAGATTGTGCAGCTTCTTCTATGCCATAAGACGACTTTGGCTGTCACTGTAAACTTGAAGAAAGATCATTGAAGGGAAAGTAGAATCCTTAGAGAATTTTAAAGCGTAAGATAGAAGATGCCCCTAGGTGACAGAAGTATTTTTAAAATCTCAGGCTTCCCAGAAACTACTTCCTTTGGAGCACAGCTTCTCAGATCACATTTTGAGAACTGGCTTCTTAAACATTAAACCTTTCATCTGTGTTGTCCATTGTGTTCACTCTCACCTACCTGGAGGTTTGGCTACCATCTCATGTCTCTTCATATTCCAGGGCTCTTTTCCTTGCTCCAGAAAAGTGATCAGGTCTAGCTTAGAGACAGCAATACCTGTTTCATTAAAAATAAATAACATGAATCTTGCTCACATTCTCCAAATAACATGCTCAGTAAAAAGAAAGTAATAGAATATGGCCAGATTATGGTGGCTCATGCCTGTAGTCCCAGCACTTTGGGAGGCCGAGGTGGGCAGATCATGAGGTCAGGAGATGGAGACCATCCTGGCTAACACAGTGAAACCTCATTTCTACTAAAAATGCAAAAAATTACCCAGGTGTGATGGCATATGCCTGTAATTTCAGCTACTCGGGAGGCTGAGGAAGGAGAATTGCTTGTACCCGGGAGGCGGAGGTTGCAGTGAGCTGAGATTGTGCCACTACACTGCAGCCTGGGTGACAGAGTGAGACTCCATCTCAAAAAAAAAAAAAAAAAAAAAAAAGTAACAGAATATTCTAGTAAATTAATACCCAAACACTAATTTATAACAGAAATTTCTAAATATTTAGAAAACATTTTCAATTTGTAGGTTCTTAATTTTACTACCCCGTACTATTGAATCACAAATTGGTTGTGGCAAGTAGATTTTAAGGTGTGGGCAACAATATTTTATGCCACTAAATTTCTGGAATTACCACTAATATACAGTGAAAGATACAGATCAGCTCAGGAATGTGGATAGTTCAGGTAAAAATAAAACATCTTGAATAAATTCCTATCTACACTTACAGATCTCTGTTTTCAGAAAACAGGGATCTGAAACTCTTGTATGCAAAGCATAAATTACTAAAACATATTCTACAGAAAAGAGAAATGAAACATTTAGGGTATAATAGGAATTGTTTATTGAAATTATTCTCACCGAGAAAGGCCAGGTTTCTGTAGTTCTCTAACATCACATTTCTATATAAATTCTGCTCAGCAGTATTCAGGCATTGCCACTCCTCCAGAGAAAATTATGTGGTGACAGCCCTAAATGTCAATGGTCCCTGAAACACACACACACACACACACGCACACACAGAAATGCATATATTTACCATGTGGCCATGGGCAGAATTTTTTATTTGACTCAATGTGAAATGACAGTAAAGAGAATGGATTCTAACTTATAGGAAGATGAATATTATACAATAGAATAATTTTCAACACATAAATATTCTCTAATGTATTCTATAACTCTGAGAAAACAAAATGGCATAAGATCCACAACACCAGTGTATGTAAGATACTTTTCTGGATAATAAAGTATAAAATTAAGGGCATGAACACAGACATGTAATTTTTGACTGCTATATTCACGTCACACAGAATGAGTTGTTTATATTTTTCAGATCAAAAAGACACATTGAGTTAGAAGGTGCCTCTCACATTTTAATGTGTACAATAAGCTGGAGATCTTGTTATGCGTATTTATTTTAGAAGATCTGGAATAAATCTGAGTTTCTGAATTTCTGAGAAGCTCACCAGTAATGCCTGTTTTTGACCGAAGAATAATATTTTGTCAAGCATTCAGTAGGTGTAGGAGCATGGTTTTTCCCAGTTTTTTGTTTATTTGTTTGTTTTGAGACGGAGTTTTGCTCTTGTCGCCCAGGGTTGAGTGCAATGATGTGATCTCGGCTCACTGCAACCTCCGCCTCCCAGGTTCAAGCCATTCTCCTGACTCAGCCTCCCAAGTAGCTGGGACTACAGGCACATGCCACCACGCCCGGCTAATTTTTTGTATTTGTAGTAGAGATGGGGTTTCACCATGTTGGTCAGGCTTCTCTCAAACTCCTAACTTCAGGTAATCCACCTGCCTCAGCCTCCCAAAGTGCTGGGATTAAAGGCGTGAGCCACCGCACCTGGCCGTTTTTCCCAGTTTTTCTGGCCTGTAACCAGAGATGAGAGCCTTCATTTTTCAAAGACGGATATACACAAGGAAAATCTAAGACAAAAGTGTAGCTGCCAGATTAAATGTGATGGTTTATGCACAACACCTACATAAAGATGCTTAATGATAAAGAGAAAAATAATTAACTTTATAGTGAAAAATTATGTCAGAGAGTTATTTATTTATCTACTTACTCATTTTGAGATGATGTCTCGCTCTGTCCCCCAGGCTGGAATGCAGTGGCACAGTCTCACTCACTACAACGGCTGTCTCCTGGGTTCAAGCAATTCTCCTGCCTTAGCCTCCCAAGCAGCTGGGACTATACGTGCATGCCACCATGCCTGGCTAATTTTTGTATTTTTAGTAGAGACGGGGTTTCACCATATTGCTCAGGTTGGACTCGAACTCCTGACTTCAGTTGATCCACCCGCCTCCCAAAGTGCTGGGATTACAGGAGTGAGCCACTGCGCCTGGTGTGTCAGAGAGCTGTTTAACCAGGTGAATAATTGACATCAACTGAACTTCAACAAATTTTTATTATTTGCTGATATACACGGAAGAACAGAGCATCACTTCTGGGATAGTGCCTTCCAAAAGTAAGTTACAGTCTGAATTTAACTATAAAGTGACATCAGTTTTATGCAAAATTCAAGATACAAATACATCTCATATTCTGTAGTTTTAATAGTGATTTTAAGTAGTCTTTCTTTAGCACCATAGAGAACAGATATCTTCTAATATTATTTTCAGAGCTTTCTGGCTAATAATTGTCATCCAGTTTACATAAGCATTTTCTTAATTCTGTTCTGAATAGAGCTAATGGACACAGATAGAAGCTCCACATTACATGTCCTCCATCTTTACTAAGGGCCACAGCTTTTCCCCAATATGAATCTTGAGTATCTACATCTTCCTATATTTAACAGCCATAAAAAGAACATTTTTAATATTACAGATCATAAATTCATGGTGAGAATTCTGCACGGCATAGAAGAAACCTTGAGGTAGAGAATTTAGAGAAGGTTCTGATAGATAAGAAAGAAATATTTTTCAGAGACCCTTGAGTATCATAAGAATTTTAAAAAGTAGTTAAAGCAAACTCATTAGGTAGGACAAGCACGAGTAGAGAAGTAAAGTTTGGCAAGAACTAAACACGTAACATTTCAGGAGGCAGAGAGGACACAGCTCTTATCAGAGACATATTTATCTATTAAACAAAAAGTCTTTTATTTTTAATTTTTTCTTCCTCTCTGGGATTCCTCCTCAGATAAGATTCTTTGGACAAATTCTACCGGCATCTTGAGAATATGCCTTTAAAGGTGTTAGAACCACCTGTTTATCTGCTACCACCACACCCACAGGGAGACCAAGACCTGCAAAAAAAGTTCACACATTTCTATCCTTCATAACAGAAGAGATTCAGAAACAATGAGCTGCTCTATGCAGAAAAAGTATATAAGTTTTCTCTTTTCTGCCCTCAGGGGCCCTCCCCAGCCACAGACACCAGCAATTTCTTCTACAATAATGGTAATATTAGCCACATTGACCTGTCCCTCCCTAATCCAAACAAAATAAGCCCTCTGACCACCCTTTAGTGCATAGATGAAACTTAACACATGTATCTTGAACCCTTTATACTTGATTCTGCCTTCATCTTAGAGTTACATGAAGCCTTTAATAAAAAAAAAAATAAAAAAAAAATGAGTGCTTCCAGAACGATAAATGGAGCCTGTGGGGAGGGCAGAAGTAATGATTTCTGCAAATTGGCCATGTAATCCTAATTAGAAACCAGAGCTAATAACCGCTTAGCTAAACACTGCCTCTGAGGCTTTAATGAGCTTCTAACTCACTTGGCAATTTTTGGCCCTACTGTATGTAATACGATTCTGCAGGTCTGGAAAGTGTCCATGAATGTGTGTGTTTTTTTTTGTTTGTTTGTTTTTTGTTTGGTTTTTTTTTTTTTTTTTTTTTTTTGAGACAGAGTCTCGCTCGGTCACCCAAGCTCCGCCTCCCGGGTTTAGGCCATTCTCCTGCCTCAGCCTCCCGAGTAGCTGGGACTACAGACGCTCGCCACCTCGCCCGGCTATTTTTTTGTATTTTTTACTAGAGACGGGGTTTCACAGGGTTAGCCAGGATGGTCTTGATCTCCTGACCTCGTGATCCACCCGTCTCGGCCTCCCAAAGTGCTGGGATTACAGGCTTGAGCCACCGCGCCCGGCCGAATGTGTGTTTTAAACAAGTTTCTTGCCAATGCTGATGTTGTTCTCCTGGGCTTATTATCAGCATTACTTAGAGAAAGCAGGCACAGCACAGAGTCCCTTATACTCGGCACTCTTGTCACAACACAAATATTTTTGGTACAAAGGAAGACAACCAATATCTATCCAAAAGTATCACATTTTTTTCTGGTTCATTAAAGTTTACAGAGAAAATGGAAGGCAGCGATGTGTGAATAAGTCTGTATTTGGAAAACAACATTTACACGTGTACTAATTCAATGTTTATTAAGCAATACGTTTGTATTGTGTTTATATTTAATTGTTTGGTGATTCGTGGGGCAACTACTGGGTTTGCAGGAATATTACACAAGTTGCTAAATGGAGTGTCTCTGCAGACACTGGTTTTAATTAACAGTTAAAAGATTAGACCCTAAAATATATACATTTTTTCCATTTATCTGCTTTTAGATTTCAGAAAATTGTGAGCACTAGCTCTAGAAAGGCAGTAGAATTCATCACCCAAAACTCTAATCTCTTCTAATCAGTTCTGTGAGGCAAGACTCCAGGGTGGGACCTGACCTAAATAAGGCCCCCATAAAGGGTGAATCTGAAGAGAACTGGGGCAGGAAGTGGATCCTATGTAGAATTCTGTTCTCTATGCTACTGGGGTGTTTTCCATTTTGTTTTTCCTAAGTTTACCTAAGAGAAACTTAAATCTTAAGATTTGTGTAATTTTAATTTGTTTCAGTCACTGTCCTGTCAATTTGATAACATATATTCATAAGCAACTTAAACAGATCTTTTAAGGTTTTCTAGGGTAATTTTATTACAAGATAAATAATGTACTTAGCAAGGTAAAAAAAAATAGAAATAATAATAACAACTTTTCTGTCCATAAACATCGCTTCAGTTGATGACATCTGAAGTGACAACAATATAAAGAACATGTACCAAATAAAGCCCAAGTTTTTCTGCTCACATCTATTCATTGTACAAACCACATGATGCCTAATTCAACCATGTGTGTAGTTGCTGGTCTGGACTAAAACTTCCTAGATGGTTGGGACCACAACTGCTTCATCTATCTTTGAGTAGCCATATGAAATGAAAGCAATTATTTTATCTCTTTGAGTCTCCAGACCTTCTCCATGTTTCTCACTCAAGTACCAGGAAACTGAAGAAACTGTCATCTGGGTACCAACCAAAGGTATCTCTTGAATGAGAGGAGGAACAAACACAGGGTAACTCATTTCTGTTAAACCGAGACAGAAGCAGAATATACTACTCTTGTCAGCCTGAAACAATTCTCTTCTGGATATCCTTAAATGTCTCAAAAATGTGACTCCTGAACATAGACCCAAAATAAAGGAAATGTTGATTCCAGTCCAGACCTGGAACCTGGACATATGCAGGACGGTTCATCTCATTCATGGCCCTGCCTGCAGCTGTGATTGTGACATACGCCTCTGTCCAGCACCTGAGTGATTCCACTCTCCCGCCTGGGCTCAGCCCACAGATTGGATTGTGACACATCGCTTAACTTAGAATTTAGATGATGTGACTCCATTCTCCTCTCTTGGCACTGCCCACAGGGAACACTGTGACAACATGACTGCATGTTACACTCCGGTTATGTGACTCTTTTGCCTGTGCCTTGCCCACATGGGCCATTGTGACATATTGCTGGATCTAACACCCAGGTGATGTAACTCTATGACTGAGTCCCTGCCTAAAAAGTGCATTGTGACATACCTCTGTGCTCATCATACAGGTGATGTGACTCTCTTTTCCTGCCTGATTCCTGCTTACAAGAGGTATTGAAACAGATTGCAAGGCCCAGCAGCTAGCTGATGTGACTCTT